GATACAACTCCAAGGCTCTCACACGAGACAGCATTGGATCTGACCAGAGTTCTAGGAGGTGACTGTGCTGTCACCCCCATTTTTAGATGATGATAAATAACTTCCCCACAGTCAAGAGAGCACCTGCAGCCTTCTGATTTGGAATCTTCTTCCCAACCCCAAGGAGAGCTAGCTGTCTCGCCTCCTGGTGTCTGATCACCCTGTTCCCTTCTGTTTGTCTATTCTGTAGGTAGTATAAGAGGGATACCCCACCTCAATAAGTGAGCAGAGGATTCATGGTGCTGCAAATTGCTGGAAAGGCTAGAACTCGGTGGACATTTATGGAGAAGCAATGTGGCCACGGGGACACAAAACTGCTGACCCTCCCAGCCCGGGACCTAGACTAAGAGTTTGCCCTAAGAATAAGCAGAGGTGTGTGTGCCAGAATAAGCACAGCAATGGTTTTTTAAACTAAAATCAGCCTATAAGTTCAACAAGAAGATAAGAAGTAAATGAATGAGATGATGGCGTATTAATGAGACGGAAGCTACTCTTGAGTCCTCTTTAAGCAAAAAAGCGATGTCCAGAGCCATACGAACAACTCCCCACCTTTGCATTTAAAAGGTACGCGTACACAAAGGCCTCTTAACCAGGTGTGTACACGCGAAATGCGCATCTGAAAAGAGACACACCAGGAGATACCACACCACCACATCGGCGATTGCATGTCGGCTCTGCACATCTGCTCAGCTTCTTTGCAGTGATTTTGAGCACAGTGCCTAGTAAACGAGAGATGCTCAATACTAGGAAAATGCTTAATGCTGGCTCCCCTTTATTCTCTTGTTTATCTTCTACGTTTCCTCCAAACCTAACATTTCTTCCATTGTCAGCAAACTAAATGATTGTAGAACATATCTCAGTAGGACTGTGGGTGCCGTCACATTCGTTCCCATCTGCTTCTGCCCTGGGAACCGGAGGGTGCTTTTATTTTTTATTTTTTCCAACATGAGAGTGGGTTTTTCCACCTTTACTTGTTTTATGCCATGAAGTTTTTTAAAATCTCTACATGGTGTTAAATTCATATGATAAAATTGCAGGTAGGAAGTTGGGTGCTGAGGCACCTGGAGTCCTAGAGCTTGGGAGGCTGAGGCAGAAGGATTGCTTGAGCCTTGGTGTTTGAGACCAGCCTGTCAAAGCATTTCCTCAACATGAGAGTGGGTTTTTCCACCTTTACTTGTTTTATGCCATGAAGTTTTTTAAAATCTCTACATGGTGTTAAATTCATATGATAAAATTGCAGGTAGGAAGTTGGGTGCTGAGGCACCTGGAGTCCTAGAGCTTGGGAGGCTGAGGCAGAAGGATTGCTTGAGCCTTGGTGTTTGAGACCAGCCTGTCAAAGCATTTACTCAAAATGAGTATAAATAACTCAAAATGAGTAAATATAGAACTTGTGAGGCCTCAGTTTCTCCTCCTGGCTGGTGAGTAAACACCACCCACTGCTGCTGCAGTGGGCATCACCTCAAAATGAGTAAATACAGAACTTGCGAGGCCTCAGTTTCTCCTCCTGGCTGGTGAGTAAACACCACCCGCTGCCGCAGTGGGCATCTGTTCCTGCTGCCTCCCCTGTCCATGTGGGCGTCTCGGCATCCCAGGCCCTCACCTGCCGGGCACCTCACATCCACCTTCTCGGGAAGGGAGAGCAGGTCTAGGCTGCACCCCCTCCCGCCACAGCCATCCAGGAATCACCTACTTCACCTCAGCCACTCCGGCCTCCTCCTGCCCTCTGAGCATCACAGCGCCTGCTGCCCACCACCGCGTCGCCCTCCCCTGCTTGTCTGTCCCCACGGGAAGCTAGAGGGAGCTGTGTTCACGAGTCAGGTCGCACCCCGCCCCATGTGGAGTGCTCCAGCTCTCTCCCACTCACGGGGCCTGGTAGCATCCACCCTCACCCACTCCCTGTGTCTCCTCCTCTCTTCTCCTGCTCTCCTCATCGCTCACTCAGATCCAGCCTCTTAGATTCTTTGTCTTTCGTTTGTTTGGTTTTGGTTTTTTGAGACGGGGTCTTTCTGTGGAGCTCATGCTGATCTTGAACTCACTATGTAGCCCAAACTGGCCCTAAACTTGAGGCAATCCTCCTGCTTCAGCCTCTCCAGTGATGAAATTACAGGTGTGCATCATCACAGGGGTCACGGGTGTGCATCACCACACCTGACTTCTTGGGATTCATTGAATGTGCCATATCGTGTCACCTCAGGACCTCTGCACTGCCTTTTCCTTTCATCCAGAACACATCTCCCCCCCCCATGGCTCCAGGGGTCCTTCCCTTGCTTCTAAAGTCTTTGCTTCAAAGTCCCCTTTCTCAGTGAGGCAGGCATGGCCACCAGACTGCACAGCCTCCATTCCTCTCCAAGTAACCATGCTGCACACACCTGTCACCATGTGAGATATTCCAGGTCTATGGGAAGGTGCTTTCAGACACAAGCTCTGCAGACGTTGGAGTAAACCCATCTGCAGGGAGCCGCAGCCTCGGTAATCAGGCTGAAATGAAAGGAAGCGCCAAGCGCTGGCATCTGCTCTCCCTCCGTGTGCCGCAAGCCCAGTGCGCCTCGACCGGAGCGTCAGCCCTGTGTCCATCAGCCCGAGAGGCCCTGGCAAGTGGAGCTGTGCTCTGAGCTCATGCTCCCGCCGTGCTGGAGATGACGTCCCCTTGGCAGGGAGAAGCAGGGGCTGCAGGGCAGCGAGCAGGCACCGGGGACGGGAAGACAGCTGAAGACCTTGCCTAGGTTGGTTGGACTCAGAGCCAGTTAGGCCTCCCCGGGTGCATTTTTACTGTCCGTGTTGGTCACAAGTTTTCTACTTTTCTCAGCCTTTCCTTTCTTTCTTTCCTTCCTGAGTCCTATACAAGCCGCACCTGCAGACACAAGAAACAGGAGAATCTTTCTCCCTAGTACCCCTTCACCGAGGATGGCAGTGGGATCAGGGTGCACCCACTTTGAGCATAGCCACCCTGTAAGGGCTGCCGTGTCCTCACTGCCAGAAGGACTGGCTCTTGCTCTCTCGCTCCTCCCACCCTGTGTATTCCCAGCGTGCCACGAAGCAGCAGCATGGGGCGACGCTCCTGTCGGAATGCAGATGCCCTGTGCTCTGGCTTTAAAGCCCAAAGCAGCCCATCGCAGATGAAAGCATGGGATGGACCTGGACCCACATGATGGTCAGTCTCATGTGCAGCAGCCTAGCTGGGCCGCAGCGCCCAGGCAGATGGGCGAATGTTCTGGGTATTCCTGTGAGGGTGTTTCTGGAGACCAAAACTGAAATCGGTGGACACGGAGGAAAGTGGTTCACCCTGTAACACGGAGGGGAGCTTCCTCCAACCCGAATGGGACAAAGACACCAGCTCTCCCCCGGGGAAGGCGTCTCCAGCAGACCATGGCCTCAGGGCTCCAGGGGTGCATGGGTTCTGGGATCTCAGCTCCCCCAAAAACAGATGCAGCCCCACCAGCTTCTGTAACCACGTGTGCCTGTTCCACTCACTGCATCTCTTCATGTTGACACTGCTGTCCTGGGGAGGGGACCCCTGACTGACACAACTGACCACACAACTCTCTCGATGTCTTGCTTTGGGTTCGTGGCACCCCCTGCAGACCCCAGTCTTAGACTCTTGCTCCGCTGTCATCTTTGCAGACTCTTCACGGCATCTGGATATCTCAACTCCTGACCCCCACCCACCCCTGGTCTGCTGTTGCTCCAGCGACTGTCCCCAGTTCACGTCCCCAGGCCATTTTCTGCTCCGGTGCTTTCATCTTGCTGAAACAGGGTGCGGCAAAAGGAGTCAAAATGGAACTGCATCCCTGCAACCTACACACTGCTGCATACACTCTCCCTATTGTGTTTGCTCTCCACCCCACCCCGTCAAATTCTATCCTCAGGCTTTCTTATTTGGAACCAAGTAGACTGCAGTGGCAGCCAGGAAGAGGACAGCTCCTGTGGCAGATGCTAGTAGCCCTTTGGTAGCGCCTTCACCAAGGAACGCAGAAAAGCAGCACATCCTGGAAAAAACTCTGCTGGCTCTATCTGCAGACGAGGGTCAGAGCAGGACCCCAACAATGATGACTGTAAAGGCCCTCTCAGAATTCACATCTAGGGATAGCCCAGGGATGACTACAGTTTGTTTTCTCCATAACAGAAAAAGGTCTTCGTTGGTTGGTTGGTCCTTTTGTTTTGTTTTGTTCCCATTTTGGTAGCTATAGTAACAGTTGGAAACATTTTCATTAGGATGAGCACAGTATCAGCATCGTGTATTTTAATTGCACTAAAAATTATGCATTGACTACCACAGTGCTAGAATGCAGGTATGAATGAGTGCAGTCACAAAAGGGACAACTCTGTCAGGACTTCAACACTCAGAGAAAAATACAGAGTTTAACTGCAACATGCTATTTTTCGAGTTAATATTGTCGATTTTGTGTGTGTATGGTTCATTCGGTTAACAAATACATATTGAGTATCTTCTGCATATAACCCAAAAATAAATGTACCTTTCCTAAGTCTGGCTGAATGCATATCATACATAAAATCTGGTCTTAAACAGTGTAATTTCATAATCCTCCTCATCATCTTAATCAGCACGGGGTACCTTGGGCCAAAAGAGAAAGGGAAGAGAAGACTTTCTGGAAGGAATACTTGACTAACATTCTATCCCACAGTCTTCGCCTTTCAAGGAGTCGAGTACATACAGCGCATGAATTACAATGTCGTACTCAGGAGTGTATTTTGTAAATTTCTGGGACAGAAAATTCCATCAGCACCACCTCTCTGCTGCTCTACTCTCCCAGTTGAGAGGAACCAAGCAGAAACCCTCCAGGCTTCTGCCTGGTGCAGATCAGAGCTTGCAGCGGTGGATCCCTGTGCAGCCTCTGCCTCAGCCCTGTGGACCGCAGATCCGGAAAGCCTGAGCAATAAACTCAACTCAATGATAGCGCAGGTGCAAGATAAAGGGTAATAAAAATTCATTACCTGGCGTAACAGTTTTCCCTGAGGCTCCTGCAGGCTCTAAAGGGCAGGTTTGTGGATAATTAAATACCGTGGCATGTGGGGGGCTCGAGTGCCCCTCCTCCGCCGCTCCCTCCAACTTATTACTGTTTGACTAAGATGAAGTCTCAGGAGCGGCCTTCTGCTCCACTGGAATTCTCTACCGTATGGCACCGTGAACAACGAGGGACACGAAGCACCAGGCAGTCGAGACGCATCCCGAGCATGTGCGGCGGTCGCGGAGAAGGTCATCGTATTATGATCAGAGCATCGTATTATGGATCTAAAATCAAAAGATAAGACAATAAATATCTTAAAAACATAACAGACTCCTTACCTTTAAGATAGGGAAATGGATTAAGCAAGACACCAAAAATGTGCTCTGCAAAAAGAAAAAAATTAAAACTATATTTACTATTTACATCAGAATTAAAAGTTTCTGTTCCTCAGTTTGTAATAGCTAAATCTTGGAAACAGCCCATTTGCCCATCCGTTGGAAACTGGATAAAGAAGATGTGGTTTTTCTATAAAATGGAATATTACTCAGCCATGAAGAACGAGAAAATAGATTCATTCATAGGAAAATGGATACATATTGAAGATATACTCCTAAGTCAAATAAATAAGTCACACATGTATAAATACCGAATAGTTTCTCTGGTGTGAATAATCTGAAATAATACATAAGATCCTAATAAGATTACTGACATTGAGAAATGGGAAGGAGCTAAAGGTGTAGGGAAGGTGGGATGGGTAGGGGAAGGGTAAAAAGGGAAAAGAAAAACGTGTGAGATAATGAAAAGATGAAAATAAAGTGTTTGTAGATGGGGAGGGAAGGAGGGGGTGAAGGGAGGGCAGGGGTAAGGGGAAAAAATGAGAACCAAGACTTGTCATGTAGAGGTACAAGATCCCAACAATGAATGTAACTGTACTGTATCACTAAAATGTACCAATAAACTCAATTAAAGCTGAAAAAAAAGTTTCTGTTCCTCAAAAGACACTGTGATGATAGTGGAAAGGCAAGCCATTGGGTATGAGAATATATGTGCGGATAAATGATCAGATGAAGTTTTGCATCCACAAAGTATTCTTAACCTCTGTTAGTCACCAAGAAAAAGGCAGGCAGCCTAATGTTTAAAAATGAACAAATTACTCGAACAGGCACAAATAGTTACATAAATGTCAAATGAATACCATACTGAGATCCTACTACCCGATCCCAGAGGGTTGTCATGAAAAACACTGGCAATTCCATGTTTGGGGTGAGCAAAGGAAGCCCTTGCACAGTGGTGAGAATACAGACTTGTACTTCTGTCTTTGGAAACTGGTGCATAAAGCCAAGCAGCACATTTACACACCCTGTGCCATGGGACTCAGCTTCCCTGTAAATCCAACAGCTACGAAGGCACAGCTGTGCCCAGGATTTGCAGGAGCAAGGTGTCATCAGTATTTTTCATATTGACTAAAACACTGGAAGCAACCCAAATGCCCAGTGGTAGAATGGGAAAATAAATTGTGGAGTATTTCAGTGAAAATGAAACGACCTGCCACTCAAGGGGCGCATGGTTGGACCTCACAAACATGCACTTGTGTGGAAGAAGTCGACACAGAAGAGTGACTACGGCACTGGTTCCATTTATAACAAGTTCGAAGGTGGGGAAACACATCCACAGGAGCCAAGGCATGGCTCTCCTGGGACAGACAGCTGCAGACATCCGGGGGGCCTCAGTCTCCAGAAGCTCTTTTTCCTAACCTATCCCAGCCTTCACAGGTGAGGACAAGAACTTCCTCAATGGACTTGGTTTTCTAAATGGCACTGGGAGCCCTCTTGTGATTTTTTTTTATCCCACGGTGCATAGTGAAAGCACCTGCGCTTCTGCGGAGCTCCAGAGCCCAGCTCAGCTCTCTGCTAAAGGTCTGGGAAGACGCCGGCGTCGCAGGAAGGAGGCGGTGCAGCCCTGCAAGCTCCCTGCACTGAGCCCCCAGGAACGACGGAGACACAAAAGACCACTCCAGTCCACAGAGCCGCCTTCTTTTAGTCCTACTGCGATGTATTTTGTTAGATTTTTGTGATAAACCGTGCCATCTTAGCCATGTGTCCCCCTGCAGTGCAGTGGTAGTAAGACCACAGCCAGCTCACCGTCCTTCCCCAAGACACTCTCCATCTGCAGAACTGACACTTCCTCCACTAAACACAAACTCCCGGTCCACCTTCCCCAGACCCTGGCTACTCTGTTTTGTCTTTATGAATCTGCCTGCCCCAAGTGCCTCGTACAAGAGGAGCCCTGAACTTTTTGTCTTTTCTGAGACTGGCTTACAATGTCCTCCAGATTCGGCCATAAGGCATCTTCCTTTTTAAGGCAAAACAATATTCTGCTGTGTTGTAGACCACATTTTGTTTATCTCCCAGCCACTGACGGAAGCTTGGTTTGTTTCCACATTTTAACTATAGCAACATATTTTTAATTTGAGGTTCTTTGTGGCCAAATAAAGATGAAGGACTGGGAATGTAGCTTACATGTGTGAGGCCCTAGGCTTGATCTTCAACGTGGAGAAAAAGGACTCAAATTCTTTGAGTCTTCTCCCATCAAAAGGTAGAACTGATGTTCTGTGCACTGAAATCTGGATGGGTTCTGTGACTGCTTAAGAGAACAGAAACAGCTGGAACCGAGCTCACCTACAAGCTGACGGCTTCCTCTCTCTGCTCATTCTGGGCTACGGTGCTGGACTACAATGCCAAATGCAGGTGTCCCGAACTCTGTCCTCGCTGACCCCTGCCTCCCTGCCATCCCAAATGGAGGAGAAGCTCAGTTCTCCTATTTGTAGTGTAAGAATCACCAATCTAACCCAAAACCACATTCCTGGCCCACAGAATCTTCAGATATAATGAAATAATTCTTTTAAGCCACAAAGCTTTGGTGCACATTGTGATAGAGTAAGAGACAATCACAACAACCTTGACTGCAAAACTTCAGAAAAATCCCTTCAACTGCAGTGGACTCTCCCACCAAAGAAGACCTTTAAATATCAAAGGAGCCAGGGTAGATGCATTAGTCAGCTCTTCTGTCCCTGAGACACAATATACATCACCCAAAATTTAAAGGAGGAAAGGTTCGATTTGGCTCATAGTTTCTGGGAATGCAGTTCATGGTCAGCAGGAATGTGGTGGTGGGAGGTAAGGTAGAACAAAAGTGTTTAACCAGTGGTGGCCCACAGCAGAGCAGGGAATCGGTGCCATAGAGGAAGGGGTGAGGAACTAGACATCACTTCCCAAATCCTCCACACCATGACTCCCCAGACACACCCAGAAGTGAGCTCCACCAATCCCCTAGGTTGATCCCAAAGCCAACCATGTTGACACTCCACTTTAAGCACCACAACAGGAAAACTCACCTCAGGGCCAGACTAGGAAACATTTGGTCATCCCAGAAAGGTGCGAAGGAGTGGCCAGGGCAAGGAAACACACTGGAATGCCAGCCATGTGGTCCTGAATTTGCTCACTTACTCAAGTTGCATTAAACACACACTGTGAGTTAAGCATTGTTCTGAACACTGGGCAGGCCAAGAGAAGTAAGTCACACACCCACCCTCCCTTGTGTAAATCTCCTTGTTCTCACAAATACCTGTTGCTTTAGCTATTCTCCCTGCTGGTTGTCACCTGCGATCCTAGCTTTCCACTTGCAGAGGTGGGGTTTTACTGTCAGCCAGGACATTAAGATTGCTCTTAATATCCTCTCAAGTGGCTCTAAAATCTCCTCTCTCCCAGGAAAAAAACCATTTTTCCTATCTTTTAAAAACAAACTAAAATTAAAAAAATATAGGTACCACTTAAAACTAGCATTTTCTAGTGTCTCCAAATGAAATGTGTTTCTGTTGGTTTCGATTATGCCGTCTACTAAAAGTTTTCTGGGTATATTTGAGAATTCATGGGAAAGACAGAAGCTCACTGTTAACTTCTTAGTCTAAGAAAACTCAAGGGGGAAAGTGAGCAGAAGACAAATAACTCTTAGGAAAAAGCTCTTGCTTTGTACAAGAAGACATAGAGAATCAATTGATCCTAACAGGATTTGACTGCTGTCCAAGGTTGGTGTCCTCGGTTTCCCATGTTTAGCTGTGTTTTATAAATGTCTGAAGGAAGGCAGATGAAGCCTTGCTTGCCTTGCAGTGCAGACGGAGCTGCTCTGAAGGGAGGGGCCAATGTCCACCCTCCTGGCTCTCCTTGGGACTGCCCTTCTACTGTGCACCACGAGATGTGCCTGTCCCTAGGCCATGCAGCTCAAAGCTGGGCACCGGAAGTGACCCGTTCTACCAGGTGTGCACCTTTAGCTTCACCTGGACAGTGTTAATGAACAGCGGGCCAGAAGCAGGTCCTCCCACACTCTCCCCTGCCTGTGGAACTGCGGATTTCTCCTCTTTCCTGTCACGTCTGCTCAGCACCAACACAGAAGTCCATCTCTCATTTATCTCACAACTAGAGTGGGGAAAGGGCCCTGTTGCACATCAGGCTCATGTTAAGCCCACTCCACCCATTAACTGTGGCTCAGGCGGAATACACCTAGGGCTGCCTCATCCAAAGTATCCCAAATTCAAAGAATTATAGCTAATGTACTTGAATTAGCCAGAGAAGCAGAACCATAGGATACAGAGAAACACAGAACAAGACTTACACGTAAGATGGGCTTGTGCAGTGAGGGGAGGCCAAGAGGTTCAGCGTCTGTAGCTGGTCCAGGTTGCTTTGTTCAGGTATTTGTTGCAGTGCTGGAAAGCTGACTCACATAAAGGCCGCAGAGCCAAGGAATGACGCAGTAAGTCTCCACCCTCATGTGAAGACCCGGTTCTGGGAGAGCAGATGCCCTGGGCAGGAGGACGCACGTCCCAGTTCAAGCAGAGAGAGTCAGCTCACCTCTCCTTTGCCCTTTGTTCACTCGGAGCACTCGGTGGATAGGACAATAGCCACTCACACTGCTGAAAGCAATTCTTCTTCTCCACCCACCAATGTAAACTACACCTTCCGAAAACACACACACACATGCACCAGGCAGTCGTGTTTTACCAGCTAGCCTTGTACCCTCGACCATCATGGCGCTTCTCCAAGCCTGGAACCCACAGAGCCACAGCACGAGGTCCTTCTCCTCTGCAGCACCACCACTGGCAAACCTTGCACCAGCCCCCCGCAGTGGGCCCCTGGGGTGATCCAGCCCACATTAAGCACAGCTGCCACACCGTTGGGTGTAGATTGGCCAGCGCTGTAGCAGCCACAAGGTAGGATCCCCAGCTCTGTGCTCCTCTTGTCCCATCTCCCTTCCCTTTACACTGTCCCCCTGAGATGCCAGCATGGTTCCCAAGTTGTGACCTGATTTTCAGTCAAAAGTAAGAATGTCTGGGTGAGCTATGAGAGACTGACTTCAAAAGCCCTTGGCCTGTTCTGTGGCTGTTTCTCAGTTTCTTAGTAAAATTCTCTAGCCGTAGCCTGGAAGGTCTAAGGATAAAAATTCAGCTGGTACAGGCTGTCACTCCAGAGTCAGAGGGTGCTTGGGTCCAGGAATACCAAGTTGCAGACTCTCAGCAAGGCAGCTCTGCGCCTCTTGCCTTCATCTGCAATGAGAAGCTGAGATGCGTCCTGGGACAGGGCTGTGGTGAGGACAGCGGAGAGAGGTTTGTGGACGCTCCCACCCAGTGGTGGAATTGCACCATCTAATACCTTAGGGGAGTTATCCTTGTGACCATGGCCAGGTTTTCTTTTTTTTTTTTTTTTTTTTAAGGAATACCAAGTTGCAGACTCTCAGCAAGGCAGCTCTGCGCCTCTTGCCTTCATCTGCAATGAGAAGCTGAGATGCGTCCTGGGACAGGGCTGTGGTGAGGACAGCGGAGAGAGGTTTGTGGACGCTCCCACCCAGTGGTGGAATTGCACCATCTAATACCTTAGGGGAGTTATCCTTGTGACCATGGCCAGGTTTTCTTTTTTTTTTTTTTTTGGTACCAGGGATCCAATTTGGGTCCTTGCGTTTGTGAGGCAGGTGGCAGAACCACTGAGCTAAATCCCCAGTCAGTGGCTGGGTTTTCTTAGCTAAGCAAGCCTCCTTCACTCACATCAGCCATCTGAGGTAGCATAATCAGAAGGACCAAAAGGCCGTGGGAGTTTCAATAAGGAATGTTTGGGCATGATTTGGTCAGATTACTTTTTCTGTTCATTAGAGTCACCGTAAAATAAGACCTGTTTCTTTAACAAGGACCAAATATTTTCACCCTAGTCTGCAAGGCCTTCTCCATACAAAACCTAAGAAGAAGCCAAAACTGGTCTCACTGCTAGACCTGGGGGAGGTTTTGACATCACAATGATGCCACTGAGCTTTGTAGCGTGAAGATGGGGGAAAGGAGTCCAGGTTCCTAGAAACTTTCCACAGACACTCTATACGTCGGTGCAGTAAGAGAAGCCACCTGAAGAAAGGAAATTTTTAGGTAATATTGGCTTAAGGGTATTTCATCTTAAAAATTACTGTCAGGTCTTGGCAGACAATGACGTCTGGGAAGAGAAGATGCCTAAAACTCAAGTCTGTGCCTGTTGGCCTGGTCGTTCCCTTATCCTCAACCCGGTTTATGTTTAGGTTTGGCGCCTAGCAGCAGCTCCCTTGCTGTGCCACGTCTATGAACAGGATGTAGCTTTCCCTCTACCCCAGTTTAGTAACTCTGTGGTTTACATGGAGTCTTCCTATCACCCCATCCAACCCTGGAGTGACCATGCAGCTCTACAGAAATGTGAAATATCTGATGTATTACTGATAAAAACCTTCGTTACAATCAGACACAAAGAATGGTAACAAAGGCCTTCCCCACACAACTGTGGTAAGCACCTCTGATTTCCCCTTTAGGGCTAAGGGAATTTATCCCGAAAAGGGTTATGGGGCATATCCCCTCTTGCTTTGCACTGAACCTGAAGGCAGCACTACCCTAGGTCCCTCCAAAATGCTGAGTGCAAACAGGAAGGAGGAGGAGAGGAAGAACACAGTCGTCCCTCAGCTCCCAGGGGATGGTCTGAGAAACTCCCTCCCTGCCCTGGTGGGGACTACAATTCAGAAATGCTTAAATCCCTTACATAAAATGGTGTGGTATCTGCTCATAGCCTGCATACATTTTCCTATATACTTTACTTACAACACCCAATACCAGGTAAATGCTGCATAAATGGTTTTCTTCCTGTATTGTTTAGGGGATAAAGACAAGGAGAGAAGCCTACATATGAGCAGTACAGATGCAGTTTTTTAAAATAACTGGGTGTGCTGGTTTAGGCCAATGGTAACAGTAGAGAGTAGTGACAGGGGCAGGAAGCACACAGAGGAAAATGAGTCTACAATTGCATCATCGCACATACCTCCTGGAATCTTGGCATCTTCTTATGCTCACTGAGATTTACTGGGCATCTTTAATGTTCTGACACAGGTGAGGCCCTAGAAACACAAACAAGGACGGGACCATCTCAGCTGCAGATTCAAGCCATATTAATACAAGTATTTTTCTCCATCATACTCCTGAACACCACGACTTGCCTCAGAAAAGAATTCTTGTTTTTATCAACTTGAGCCATTGCAGGGAGAAATGTGTCTTTTTATTTAGCTTCTCGGGTGCTAATCAATTGCTAATTATCTTTAACCATATCGACCTTCTCCCACTGTTTTTGCCACATGCATTAATGAGTGACATTATAAAGAGTACAATTTCATGCATTGAAGGGAACAGGCTCATGCATTATTCACTCCACATAAATACATGCACTCTTATTTGGAACTTTCAAAGATCTCTGAAAGAAGCACGGAGGAGAGATGCAATCTGACAAAGGCAAGAACTGGGACAGGAAAATTATATACAGTGTAAATGGAGAGAAATAGACCGATCGGTGCGGAATTGGAGCTGCGGGGACGGAAGCGAGAGCACCAACATGAGGACAGACGGGACACGTCCGTGCCCCTGCTGTGTAGACCGCCCACGGTGTGCGTCACGTCCCAGACCCTCAGTCCGCCCCCTCTGCACCCCAGTGGGTGGGGTGTGCACACAGAACAGGCCAGGCAGATGAGCACTGTCCGCCCCTCCTCTCCGCTTCCCCACCCTGTGAGCACAGCTAAACCATGGCAGCCATCAAAAAACACTTTTGGCACAACTAAAGGAAAGAGACACGAAGACAAGTGACCTCTTGTTGGCTCCCTCCCTCTGAATTTTCCTGTTCTCTCTTGGCCGTCCAAGGAAAGTGGAGAAGGTCAGTGCCTCCTCCGAACGGCAGTAAGTCCTGTACCTCTGTGTCGTAAAGAAGCAGATGAGAGAAAACCCGAAATGAGACCCCAGAGAGAACCCTGCCGAAGACCACATAACTGGGTTTTGTCCCCAGTCCTGGCAGATGATTTCAAACCCTTGGCATGGGGGGTTACAGGGGTGTCTTTACCAAGTTAAGGGGGGTTGGTGGTGACCCCCACATGGCTTCAGAATAGAAGCTGGTCACCAAGGAGACTACACTATGCTCCTGACTAGAGCTAGGGCTTCTGGCTCCCAAGCCCCAGGAAGTGATGGAGGCTGGAGATCGTGTTCAGACAGGGGTCCTGCTTCATTCCATCCATGAAACTGAGGGACACCAATGCTCAGCTGTGCCAAGAGGGGAAGGGGCACGGTGACCCAGGAGGGGGCACAAGAGCCCCCAGGCCCTGCCCTGGCCTCCTCACGTGCCCTCACTTCATCGGTATCTCTGAATCCTTTATTAGGAAGCTGCAATCTTGAGTATAATTCTTTTGCCCGAGTTTTGTAATAGCAGGTCATGAACCTGGAGGGATTGTGGGAACCCCAAATGTGTAGCCAGCTGGCTCCACTGCAGGCCAGGAGGCCCCTGAAAGGCGGCTGACACCCTAGATGTGGACAGCCCTGCTGACGACCAAGCCCCTTGCAGTGGGATCTGACACTCACGCCGGAATCGGTGTCACAGGTGGATGGCAGCTGGCCTACTTGGGGTGCGGACAGGGCTCGCTCCTTCTACCGAGTTCCTCCCTTTGATGCCATAGCACACAGCACTCTGGGCCCTGACCTGACCACTGACCGGTACAGCTCAGTCACGGGGCATGGTGACACTGGGCAGAGAGCTCAAGTTCTCTTGAGAGTGGTGGTTTCCAGATCTTCTGTTAAACAGCAGGACCCTTCTTTCAAATCAGTCTTATGAAAATAGCCCAAAGCACCCTGTTAGTGGCATTCCCTCAGAGGGGCGTTCGATTTCCCATTTATGCCTGGCTTGCTCTGCTGCCATTAAGGCCCTCGGAGGGCGAGCACACAGGTGGTGTCAGGTGGCACCTCCTGGGATAGTGCCCTTTCCAGAGACAATTCCAGAGCTGCTTTGCCCCGAGGTGCACGTTCCCTGCCTCTCAGGTATACTGGAACAGTCAAGACTGTTATCTTTTTTGCAATACACTTAAGAATAAATATTTTAAAAAACAAATATTAGAGGAAACGAAGAATCACTGATTTTTTTCAATGAAATTGTTTCACATGCTGTGAACGCCTGAGGGCATCCTGCGGAAGAGGCTGAGGAAGTGAGACCCAAGACTGGCGTGTGAAGTCAGGAAAGGGCCAAGGATGAGCAGAAACAAAGAGGCCAGAAGACGGCAGCGCCTGCCCCTGTAACTCTAGCACTCTGGGAGACTGACAGTTCAAGCCCAGCCAGGGCAAATGAACAAGACCCCATCTCAAAATTAAAAATTAAAAATGGCTGAAGATGTAGTTCATTGTGATGGCCCTAGATTCAACCCTCAGGTCCCCCCCAAAAAAAATTTTTTTTAAGAGTTCAGGCAGAAGAAACTAACCTACTGCCACAGAAACACAGCCACAAATCTTGTGTGTCCCTGAGCTCTAGTTTGAAAAATATCTCCTTGTGAGAAGGCAAAAAACTGGATTCACAGCTAAGTAGAGTATCAGTCAACAATGGACCACAGGGCTAATTCCACGTAGTTTGGAACACATGTTCCTGGAAAACTGCCATGTTCACTCACGTACACATCACCTGCGGCTACTTTTGTATGGTGACAGTCCCACAGAGATTGTATGGTGCACAAAGCCCAAAATACCTACTTGTCTGATTCTTTCCAAAGTTGGACGACCCCTGAACTAAAACACAGAGTCCCAGCTCACTCTGTCCAGGCTGGGCAGGAGCACCCAGAGAGCGGAGTAAGGGGAAATTTCCGCTCAGCATTTCAATATCACTGGGCCATGAGGGCAACACAAACACAGACTCGTCTCTGGGAAAGGCACACACTTTGTGCCACACAAGGCTTCCCAGCACAAAGCCCAGCTCACAGTGAAAGCCTGAAGAGCCAAGGAAGAAGCCGCCCCCAGGAGCAAAGGCCGCCTCTGGTGCAGAAGGCTCTCACCGGGGCAGCAGAACTGGAACGGTGGCCTAAAAGTACAGCAGAATCCAAATAACACCTGGAAGTCCTGCAAAAGATTTGAAAAACACAAAGAAGACACAAAAAGAACCAAGTAGAATTTGGTTAGAAATAGAAAAAAGGAAAAGATAAAGGGATGACATAATTAAAAGTTTTTTCATCTATCCTTTTTGATATATTAGAAAAGAAAAAACAGGAAAAATGTTTAATTTTTAAAGGAAAGGAAAACAGTGTCAAAAGTTTCAATAAAAGCTGAAAACACATCCCAATTTTAGACTCACACATCTCAGGTCTGAGCATCTTCTAAGTTGGGTCTGGGTGACCTGGCTTCCTCACCCTGCTGTGCATGTGTGAAAGACACCCAGTTCTCAGGTATGAGAAACAGAACACGGCAGTGGTGACAGACAGCACTTCTGGGGTGTGGAGGACTGTGGCTCCCGTGCTGCTGGCACCTCGCTGGCACTCCAGTCTGCTTCTTCTGGTGGGAAGGGCCGCCTGGCAAGGGGCAGTGGGTGGCCTGACACCCTGGACCTCAGCAAAGTTAGCCACAGCCCAGCACCTGGTGAGCACTGATGGCAGGTCTGCTTCCACAGGGCTGGAAAGCACCATGGCACCAGCCAACGTCCTGAAGGAAGCCCCAAGAGAAACGAGGCAGCCCAGCACCCAGCAGAGCCACTGCGGACCTCTGAACCACAGACACAGAGAGGGGTCAGTGTGTGCTGGTGTGAGAGCCACCACGTGTTGCGTATGACTGATTACATCACAATGCGGAGCTAACATGCACCCTCATCAATAGCAAATATTCACTGAGCTACTTCACTGTGAATCTTTCATTAGCACACCCAAAAAGAACATGTTGGCAACAAATGGAAAGCAAAACACATACAAACACCTTGTGCAAATACAAGGATCCACACTGGAAGAGCAGAGGATAGAAAGTCACTAACATGGTGAGAGGGAAGCTTGGAGCCTGAGTCTGGGTGGGAGGAGCAGGGAACAAAGGCCTTTCCAATAGAGGGGTCATCTGCAACTCCTAGGTCCTTACTGATGGTCCCAAAGATGCACCCCAGGGAGGAGGATCTGGAACCCACAGGAGGGAGCACAGCACCATGAAAGCCGAGTTCAGAACTGATGAACAGATGGGTGAATTCACACAAACACCAACTCTCTAAAACAGCAATAATAAAACATTTGGGGAAATTAAAAACACATTAGAGCTAACACAGTAGAGAAGATAGCACGGGAAAAAGGATTAATCAAAGGTACAGAGCCTTATATTGCTCAGTGGAAAGGTGTAGATTTGAATAACATGAGACTATGCTAAACACACTGTATATTCTAAACTATAACTACAATCACTGAAATTATAGAAATGTAGTGTGAACATTACTGGCAAGTAGACAAAAAAGAAGTGAATAAAGAAAACTGAGCCGGTAGAAAAGAAAAAAATGAATAAAAGAATGATACAAAAAAGTATGAGTGGAGTATCCCTTATCCAAAATGCTTGGAAAGATGTTTCAGAGTTCAGGATGTTCTGATATGGAAATAGCTGCATGGACTTCGTGAGATATATTGGGAAAGGGGCCCAAGTCTAAACAGAAGTGCATTCCTGTTTCATGCACACCTTGTACACATAGCCTGAATGTAATTTCATGAAATAAATTAAATAGTTTCTTGTGTGGCATAGAATTTTATGCTTGTGGTGTTATTCTTCACCTGCACAAAACACCCAAATATAGTATACTTCTTGTAATAATAAGACAGTCTTCACAATATCAGTGACAGAAACTTAGAATTAAGAAGCTCATGCTAATAAAAATGTTAAAATGTTTAACTTAGCTTCTCACAAAGAAAAAACAAAAAAGAAATTCAATCTAGCTGGGGATGTAGCCCAGTGGTAAAGTGCTTTCTAGCATACATGAGGCCCTGGATTCAACCAACCCAAAAAAAAAAAAAAACACTGAAAGTCCAAAACCCTACAGTCAGAATTAAATTTAAAAGTAGTTAACAAACATCCATCTATATAGATATACACGTACATCTCCCTGAAAAAATTAATTAATAAAATTTGGGTGGTTTTGTTTTGTTTTGATGGTGTTTATGTTTTGCTGTTGTTGTTTTGTTTTGTTTTTGTTTTTTGCAGTAGTGGGCATTGAACTGAGGGCCTTTGCGTTGAGCTACATCATCAGGCTTTTTTTAAATTTTGAGACAGGCTCTAGTTAAAGTTACCACTAAGCTGCTAAGTTTCCCCGGGCTGGTCTCAAACTTGCAACCTTCATGCCTCAGCCCCCACGAGTGCAGAATGACAGGCATATGCCAGCATGTCCAGCTCTTTCTGAAAAAATTAATAAAGGTTGAAGCTCAGGCAATCAACATAGAAAAATAACAAAGAAAAAGTCGCAGACATTTAAATATGCAACTAAGACATAACAAATATAAGGATTAAGGTAGTAAACATTTCCCTGACAGCACAGAAGAACGTATGTGCGTGTGTGTGCATGTGTGTGCTTGTGTCAGGAAAATACTAAGCAGAAGAAATAGGTAAATGCAAAAATAAAATCACTGTTGGTGTTAAAGATTGACGAGCCACATGAGGAGGAAAGGATCAGCTTACTGGGAAGATTAGCAAAACTTGCGTCATTCATGTGATCTTAAAATACAGCCCCAAAACCTATGATAAATTTTTTTAATTTATTTTTTTAAGTTCCAAACAAAGACAGTAATATCTGCAGTCACAATGAAGAGTTTCATATACATCTCTCTAAACAAAGGATAAAACAAGCAGAAAAATAATTAAAAGAATACTGAAAATCTAAACAAAACCATAAACAAACCTTTTAATGGAGATGTATAAAACCACGCACTCAAAAATTTAAAAATACATTTTCAAGCATTTGTGAACATCTGTAAAATTGATCGCACACTGGAATTCACAAGAATCCTTAGTCAACATAATTGAATATCATATCGACTGTGCTCCTTGACAATAATGTAGTAGAATTAGAGTACTCAAATGTAGAAGAAAGCCACACAGAGAGGGTTGAAAAGCCTCTAGCATCCATACAGACAGCTTTCTGAGTCAGCATGTTCCCATCTCCTCCTGGAAATCATAAAAAAGCAATAAGAGAACCGAAACCATTTTGCAAACTACATTTTTCAGTGAAACTAGGTGGCAGACACAACCCACAGACTACAAATGAAGTGGAGAAGCGGCCAAAAGCCACTGGTTGGGGCCAAAAACCACTTCACATCAACTAAGAGAACACAGCACTGTTAAAGGCAGCAAACACAGAGAAACACCCCTTCCCAGGCGGAGTGAAAACAAAAGCCAACAACTGCACTCTCACTTGCCACAGCACGGGAGTGGGGCTGCCAGGGATTGGGGGGCTACTCCCAGACCCCGGGTCAGTCGGGGAGCTGGACACCAGCTCACACGGGTGAATCAGATTCGCCTCGGCCACCAGAACTGTCTTTCAGGTTACACAGACAGCAAAAGGTACTAAACATACAAGAACTGAGATCACTGTTCCCATGAGCTTTCTTGAGAAAATTAATAAAGGCTGAAACTCAGCCAACCAAGTTAAGGAAATTTCTAAAAGGTTGTGGTGTTTAAATATAGATATAAGGCATAAACAATTATAATCCTGTAATGGATGTGCTACATAGTCCCTGGTAATATGGAAAGCATCAGTTAAAAATGTGGTAGAGAAATGAGAAGCTTGGAAATTAGAGTAAATTCATTGAATGCTTAATCCAAAACAGCTGGGAGTTTTAAAATACAGCTTAAAGCTAATAAGGTAATTAAAGTATAAACGCACATTATAGTAGTAAGGCAAAATTATGAATAATAATATTAATAAGTGTGAAATTGGTGGTGAAGAGTGGGGTTGGAGAGAAAAAAGAAACAAGCTAATTTTATGATTGTTCTCAGAATGAAATTAACAGATATTCTTTGAGGAAATAGTGTTCCAAGGTAATTATATGATGGTAAAAAGTAACCTCTGAATTAAAAATACCAACTTTCCTAATTATCAAAAGAAGTAAACAAAGAAATAAAGCAACCCGTTCACACAGTACTGTACAATTTTAATAAGCTTAAATGTTTAGAACAGCCCTCGGCTCACAGCAGCAGGGAAGGAAACGCCTCGAGAATCCCTGTCTGTCCCTTGCCCTGCCCACGTACACGTCACCTCATTCCAGGGCGGTGCCCTTGGTCCACTCAGCGGCCTGGCACTCCCGCGCGCGAGCATCCACAGCTGCTACCTCACATGAGAGCTCAGTCCTGACGCTGCGCCTTCTCTGGGTGTGGACAGAGTACAGCGACAGGTCTGCAGCGTTTAGCGTCGGCGTCGTCGTCGTCATCGCACAGAGGAGTTTCTCGGCCCCGCCTCCTCCCGCCCCATAATCCTCTTTCTGAGTCCGCCATTTTGCCACTTCCGGGGCAATCAGCGCAGCCTTTTCAGGCTGGCTTTCTTCATGGAGTGGCCGGCATTTAAGGTTCCTCCGGGTTTTTGCGTGGCTGGACACCTCCTTTCCTCCTATTCCTTACTGAAGTCCCATTGTTTGAGAGCACCACAGCTGACTTACGAGTCACACTGTTGAAAGTCACCTTGGTTGTTTCCAAGTTTTGGAAATCCTTAATGACGCTGTAGTAGATTCGTGGCACGTAGATTTGCATGGACTTAAATCCTAATCCTTTGGATAATGTCAAGGAGCACAAATACTTTATCATCCGTTGCATAAGAATATGCTGGGAAAGAACATGTTCAGCTTTGTAAGAAACTGCCGAGCTTTCATTAAAACATAAAAACAAAGGAAAACATTAAACAATGTGATACAACCAAACCTCACCGCCATACTAATAGTAAGTGTAAGAAGGCCTTACTCACCTATAAGAAACAGGTTTTCAGATGAGATCAAAAGCTAGGAAAGTTATAACACAAAAGCTTGGAGGAAGTCATATCACGCACCTGCAGTGTCAGGGTCGACCCTAAGGTCTAGTGGGATGGACTCCAAGTGACCAGGGTGTTGGGTGAGAGGCCAGGGGTTCCCTGCACAATGCTGGGCCCGGTGCACACTGAAGACACAAGCGTGTGACTGCGCAGGCGCTGAAGGACACCGCAGCAGCATCAAGCACTAAGCTCGGACCTATTGATCCATGACAGATCACAGACACCAAAAGAGTAATGATGATGGATATAGAAAATCTCATTTTCGTGATTAATGAAGTATATATCATTGACATATTGATATTCTTAGTTCTGTACTCTAATAGTAGAAAGTAAGTTTCTCTTTCAAGCACAGGTGAAGCTTGTACCCAAGAAAAGACCAGGTGTTAGGCCTTACTGTACGGTGTGAACTGTCAGTGCAGTAGGACAAGCCACTCTACAAATGGTCCTAGAATAACCCGTTCTCCAATGTGTAAAATACAATCACTACACAAATTACAAATGTTGTTAGAAAAACAAAATTTTCTGAATAGAGATTGCGTCTTTCTATTATGTTGACACAAAGTGATTTCTTGAATTAGACACATAAAAACACAAACACTGAAGGAAAAGATTAGAAATGTATGTTCAATCAATGTTAAATTAGAATTTTAAATGTAAATATATGTATAAGAAAAGATTTCATGAACAAAGGGAGATGAAGCTGCAGGGAAGAAGACAATAGAAGTGATATGATTGACAGCAGTTTCGCATCACAGCACATTAACAATTCATATCTGAGCCAGAGGAGAAGAGGTAAACAACTCGCTATTAAGACAACCAAATGATATTGCAGGTGGTCCCTAGGAAAGAAACCCGAATGCTTAATAAACATGTGCATGGGATTTAACCTCCATTATATGCAGGAAACACAAAGGGAAGCAGTGAGAGACGCTTCCGATGCTTCAGACTGGAGGCCCCTGGAAGTCCGTGTATTCCTCCATTTGCATGTTTCTGTGTTCTTGATGCTGTCACATCTTGGGGCCTAGCTGACCGAGGAAGGACTGGTCCTCATGCACATTTAATTCCTAGAGGCACACACACATCCCACCACGCTGCAAACCACCTCCCTGTCTGCCTCCCCCAGGAGGAAATGTCCTCCTGCCTTGCTCTTCCCAGGGAGAGCCCCAGACCCCGAGACGACCTGTGGCAGGCCCCACTGAGCCATCCCAACCGGCCAGCCCTGAGCCTGCCCCTGCCTTCCCAGGAAGCAAGGCCAAGGCCCTGCCTGCCCACCTCCTGCCTCTCCTTCTGCCCCTCAACCCCCCAGGGCTGCCCTGTGGCCCCTGCTGGGATGCAGACCCCTCTGCCGGGCAACAAAGGGTCTTTACAAGCAGTGGTCCCCTGCCCTGTTGGCCCCATTCTATCTGAAAATGATAAAACCTACATGCAAAAGATGTACTGCTAACTGCTTACAAAAATGCAAATTATGCAACTCACTCAATAAAACAATTGGAAATACCCGGTAAGACTAAAGATTTGCATCCCTTCCACCTGTTATTCTTACTTCTAGTAAAATTTATCTACATGAGCCAACTCCCCATGACGAATGTTGTCATGAAATAATAACAATTAAAATTAGAAAAGAAAAACTCACCTCTGTGTCCACCAATAAAAACAAAAACAAAGACAAAATGTGCAGGAAAAAATCCACACGCCAAAAAGAAGAAATGATAAACTGCCCCTGAATGGGAGTAAAGATTTCAGAGCATATGCAGCAAGTAATGAGCGTGTCACTAATTGTATCTATGTGTCTGTGTGTTTGGACTGTATAAAACACTGGTACACTTTAGGAACTGAAACCATCGTTCACAAATCTGTCTCTGAAAACTGGGGGGCCCTGTGGAGTGTGGGCACATCGGCCTTTCGGTGGAAACAGCAGAGGAGGGCGGGTGAGGAGGGATGGGGTGGGCGGGTCCATGGGCTACACCTGTAATGTGATTTGTTTTTCTCTCACAAAACAGGAATGTGGATGGACCGGGGGCAAAATACTAACACATATCAAGCCTAAATAGATTCGTGATGTTTTTCCCACAAAACAGGAATGTGGATGGACCGGGGGCAAAATACTAACACATATCAAGCCTAAATAGATTCGTGGTCAGCTCATACAGTTCTCTCCTTAAAACAACACATACATTTTCTCATTAAAATGCTTCCATTTTTCCTGTTGGGGGACTTTGTGGCTTATTTTAATATTAAATAAAAAAGAAACCCATGTTTAAAATTTAGCATTAGCCAATATGCAGAACTGCAAACCACTGGCTCCACCAGGGCAGCCATCGGTGCTGTGATTCAGCATTAAACTTGGCGTCTCCTGCTCAGGTCCGTGCAATGGGTTCGAACCCCAGACTGAGGCACCAGCTGTCAGCTCTGCTCCTTCAGGCTCTCTCACACCTTCCCACACCTCCTGCGTCCTGCTCCTGTCCTGCCCCTCCCCGTCCTGAGGTGAGTGCAGGTCTGGAACTGACACCTCTCGAAGCATGAACCTCTAAGACACTCGCAGTGGAGCCGCACTTCACTCCCACGTGGACGGCTGCTACCCGACCGGGAGGAACGTGTGGAATGCTTATGAGATGTGAGGAAATGAGGAGCCATGTGCACCGGTGAGGCATGCGAGATGGGACAGCCACTGTGGGAGAGCATGGCGGGGCTTCAAACATCAAATGTGGAATTCCCAGATGTTAGGGCTTCTATCCAGACCGCCCCCAAAGCCTCGTGAGCTCACAGGTGCGGCTTACACAATGGGTACGAAGCTGGGTGTGATGTTGGGAGGTGAAGACTCCCAGGAAACCGCTCCTCGTGGGTGTTGGCTATCCTGTCCCAGCAACAAGGGAGTAACTAAGACACCCTACGGCCCAGCAGTTTTCTGGGCACCAACCCCAAAGACTCAAAAGCAGTGGCTCACACAGATATGTGTTCAACTGCGTTCATAGCAGCAATACTCCCAGCACCAAGGGAGAAGCTACCCAGGTGTTCGCTGACAAGATGACTAACTAATAAAGTATGGTCTGTACTGATAGTGAAATAAGACTTAGCCTTAAGAAGGAAAGAAAGTCTGGTGCATGCTACACTGGTGAGGGACCTGAAGACGTTGTTCTCGGGAACAAAAAACGCCCCTGAAAAACAGGAGTGAGGAGTCTGGGTCTAAGGGATGCAGAATTCCAGCTGGGAGAGGAGAAGCTCTGGAGACAGATGGTGGGGGTGACTGCACAACGGGATACACTCGGTGTCGCAGGGCTCGACACAAAATGGTTAAAAGGGTAAATTTCACTAGGTGTATTTTACCGGGATAATTTTTAAGAAAAGACTTCACGGCATCAATCTTAAGCATTTGATTTTTGGCTTAAGTCAGATAAAGGAGATCATTTTTGAGCAGTGTCATTTTTGAGACAGTGGTGGCGTTCTTCGAGTAAATAATGTCATTTAAGTGGCCACTCGATGTGTACTTTCTAACTCGGGAGCTCAACGCTCCATTTGGGGAGCGACCGATGAAAAGCCAAGACAAAGCAGAGGACAGGTGCAGGCTGGCCCGGGGCCTGTGGGACCACGCTTCCCGAGGGGCAGGGGTAATGGTGGGAGACAGGCACTGCCCCGCATCTCAAGTAACACGTGTGGATGATGTTACAGTTCGGGTCTTTGATGAGCATCTGTGTTTCTTTCAAAAGATGTTTACAACATCTTTTATCCCTTAAGCAACAGGTAGGAACTTCATCAATAACGTTAAGGGGCTTGTGGCAAAATGCATGTGAGTGGCCTGGAAAAGTCACGATCTTTTCTCTTTAAAGGTGGGATGCCTTCCCCTGGCCCTGCTCAAACAGAACAGGGATGGGGCATGGAGCATGTTTTCCCTGACATTTGCTTCTCTTTTCATAAAGGAAAGGTTGCAGCTGAAAACGAGCATAGCATTCTTGATTCCTTCTTTGATTTGACATGAACGGCAACAAAACTACATCTGGTCTAAGCTGAGGTTTACTGTTCTAGATTTCTCCCACTGTCTCCTGCTGTGTCCGGAGGAAGGAAAGCTCATGATCTACAGAGAGCCAAGCGCAGTGGGCTCTGCAGGTGATCGTGAACTGGGTGAGGCAGAGGGCTCCGGAATCTCCTTCTCAAACATCAGGACTCTCCTCTCTTCCGGGCCACTTTCTCTCTAGCGAGCTGGCCCAGTCTGTTACTTACACTGTTTCATTGGGTCCATCACATCTCCCCTTCTTGGCACCAACTGACAGCCGGGTGAGAGTCAGGCAGCCGAGTGGTAAGTAACACTATATTCCTATTTCTCTCACTGTCGGCCCTGATAAGCCGCAGCATCAATCCGTGATTTTCTGAGCCTCAGGTTCCCAGCAGAGGCCTAAAGAATAGGG